AAGAGGCGAGGGGCATGACGGCGAAAGCCTTGGCTGCCTACTAGAGGGGGTGATACGAGCAGCCCCCACTAGTAGTAGCCTCCAGCTGCTCCATCTATTGGTGGGGAGCTGCATCTACTGGAAAACGGGTCCATCGTCCTTGTAAGAATCCGAAGTTAGTTTGTTTCCTTGCGTACGAGCATCTCGCTCTCCATGCATTCCCCCTTAGCATCGTCAGTCGTGTGTACTTGAACAAGGTGACGTGAAGGCATTCCAGTGTGCTGTCTGTGATGACGACTGTTTTCCCAGCGGACCAAAGATGAGGTCTCTTTTGGCCAGAGTGGACCAAAGATGAGGTCTCTTTTGGCTTGTTGCTGTGGTGTGTTGGCTGCTGCCGATCTATTCGGTGCTGGGATGGAGCAATGTGAGTTGGTTGTAGCCATTGCAGCGGGTGAATTGGTCTGTTTGGGCTGGACTGCATTGCCAGGTATTGTAGCTGAATGAGCTCATAGGGGGCCCAGGGTGTGGAATTCTGCGATTTTTTCTATAGTGGCTACAAGCCGCTATATATATATATATATATATATTTTTTTTTGTTGTTGTTATTGTTGTCGCTGTTGTTGTTGTTGTTGTTGTTGTTGTTGTCGTTGTTGTTGTTGTTTGTTTGTAGAATCCGCTAGATCCGTTGCCGTTAGATTTAGTTTCGTTTGCAGCAGGGGAAAGGCTCCGCCCGAGGGTTAGGCTTTGAGGCCGGTGGTTCACCACTGTTTGGAAGAATTGGTCACTTGATTGATCATTTTTATTATTATTATTATTTTTTTTTAAGGCTAATTCTTTGAAGCCCAACCAATTCAATTACCTGTCAAATCTGGACAGGACGGCCTTTCAGGCCTTTTTTTATTGTCATTGTAGTATTATTAGGGACCCCGTAGCAGCCACATCCGTGCTCAAGCCTCCAACGAGCGAACATGCGGAAGCTGCACCCACCAGCAGGTGCAATACCTGCTACAGCAGGTGGGCGATACCGGCCAGGGGTCAGCCGGTAGCATCAGGACCGAGCTTCTTTGATGGGCCAGTCACTGTGCCTCCCCTCTGGTCCCCTCCCCCTATGAACATCAGCAGTCTCTGCTCAATGCCACTCGGGGGGACCAACGGCATATCTCTAGGTGGCGGGCGCCAAGCTTGCCCAGGAAGGTGCATGAGCCAATGGGGATTGAACCCAAGACCTCCTGAATGCCACTTGCATGCCTTACCAACTGAGCTAGGCCGCTGGATGATTGATCATTGATGTATAGCCTTGGGCACTGGGCCGGATTGCAATAAAATTCCAAGGTGAACAAAAAAAAACAAAAAGGAAAAAAAAAGGAAAAACAAGTTGGTTCTTCGCAGCGGTCCCCCCGTCTGAACTTGGCAGGTGATGCCTCGTTTGTCAAAGGGGGCTGCGGTACAATTGTGAGAGCGCCAGGCCCGTTTCCTGTTCCCAGCTTGTATAATAGACAAGGTCATCCTTAAACAACCACTACCTTTCCCGTACATCGGTCGTGGGGAGGGTCCCCACTCATTGCGGTGGCCGAAACGGAACATCGGACGCTGATAAAATATATCATAGGTACTATAGGTTATAATGATATATAATCCCACTTTTCCCAACACTGTGAAAGGTAGTGGCGGTATTAAAAATAAAAATAAAAATAAATCATTTCAAATCAAGGAACAAAAAAGAAGAGAAAAAGAAGAAAAAGAAACAACAAAAATAAAAAGGGAAAAACAAATTAAAAATAGCACTCTGCAATGACTTGCTGTTTCCATGCTGCCTGTAGCCTCACTCTGACGAGGCTGTACTTTAGGTAGGGGTAGATTCGTAATTTTGTTTGGCTGAGGGCTAACCGAGAGACCTGCCTGTGTGGGAAATTCGTGAGGGACATATTTGTAAATATAGAAATATGGCCYTGTACTAATCCRACTTTCCTAACRGCGACCCTAACTGCGAATAGCAGGCCCGGGCTACCCCTAGGACAGACAGGCCCTATGGGCCCATGCTGATAGACGGTCCTATAGCCTATAGCCGGGTAGGGAGAGGCCCTAGAGGCCGAAACTGAAACGGTACCGGTCGGTCAGTCAGTCCGGTCTAGGTCGGTCTAGGCTAGTGTAGAGTATAGGTAGGATGGGGACACTGGTCCAGGGCTTTTGGCAGTTGACACTTCGTGGTGGAAGTGGCTGCGCACACGGTATCAGGTCGTGGTTGCTGATTCCGGTGCTGGACACGGCGGACATAGCCGGACCTTCGGAGCGTTGACCAGACTGGGGTCAACGCTGTCCGCTCTGACTCTCTGGGAGTCATAGTGGTCCGGGCTATTAGAGGTCTGATGCGTTGGAGCACGTGGTGCACTGCTGACCCTCCTCAGGAGTAGGGTCCCAGTGGCGATGCAGCCATAGCTGCATCTTCTCAGAGATATCATCGTCTGGACTTCATCTTCGTCAGGGACTGTTAGCGCTGGGTTTCTTCTTCATCATCTGGATGGCGCGTGGCTCTGGGAGCCTGTTTCACTTTGGCGCAGGCCACTGAGTTGCATGTCAGGGTGGCGCTGGGTGTTACCTGGGGTTTCAGTGCTATTTTCAGCTGTTCAGGGTGTTGGGGTTGAGGCGCTACCCCTCTGAGGGTAGCGCAGCAGGGTTCTGAGGTTATTCAGTGAAAACGGTGCTCTGAGTTTAATAAACAGTTGCAATACTGTGTTTGAGTTGTCATCTCTTCATTGTTCTCTGGCTGTGATCACTCGGTTGTCTTCTATGAATGATTGTTGGGAATTGCGTGGAGAGAATTCACTGTCTGTGTATTCTGTCACTTCGCTCCCCTGAGTCTTCCGCTGCGTTTCTTCCTGTTGGGCGGTGTGATACTCCACTACCTCCCCCTTCCTTCTGTGCATGTATGGGCGTGTACGGGAGTTCCTGTGAGTGAGTGCTGATAAAATTTCGGCAGACAATCATGTTCATAACAACTCACTACTTGCATTCATGTGTTCTGTTCCTCCTCTGTTCCTTCTCGGTTATCTTCCTTGAAATCCTCTCTTCTTTTGGCCTTTCCTTTTTCTGCATTTGTCAGAGTTTGCAGGTGTTCCTGACATGAAGAAGAAGATGGAATCTGTGCTGTCAAGGCCATGCTTTGCTCTTATGCTTGCTTTCAGGCAGCCTTTAGAACAGGTAAGGAATAAAAAGAAGAGGAAGCCAGGAAGGCAAAAAGGGAAAAAAAGGAGGAGGAGGAAGAAGAAGAAGAAGAAGAAGAAGAAGAGGTTGCTTTCAGGCAGCCTTTAGAACGGGTGAGGAAGGAAAAGAAGAAGAGGACAGGTAGGCAAACGGGGGGAAGGAAACAAAAAAGAAGAAGAAGAGGAGGAGGAGGAGGGAGAAAACAGGCGAATGAACACAGAAAGAAACGAACTGTGGAAGGAGAAAACAGGTGAGCAGCTGGTTTGTACGGTGCCACAAGACACTTGGACACGTGCAGACACATCATGTTCATAGAGAATAGAGAAGAAGACATCTACACACATTCTCCATATCCATTTTTCAAACACGTCAACACCATATACAGCAAGCATGATCCTCCACATGTTTCGCTCTGCATGGGGTCTGTGAATTTGAGTAAAACGATAAAATCCTGTGTTGTGTAAAATGATAAAACCTGTGTAGAATGTCTTTTCTTTTCCTGTGTAGAGGGTCATCTTTTCAAAGGTCTCCCCCTTTTTTGCACAGCTGGGCCCTTAGCCACTGCTCCCATCTCTCCCTGAACGGAATGCAGAGTCATTGGATCGATATATATTCAGAGCAATTTTTTGGTCAGATGCAGATAAGTGGACTCTGCGTTCTGTTCGAGGGAGAACGGGACTCTGTTGCTTGGGCCATTTTGCCTTCCTTTTGTTTCTACCATATCTCAATTTATGTGTGTCAACCTTCTGCAGGGGCCATTATAATCTTCTGTGGATCATTCCAATTTCAATTTTTTTTTATTTTTTTTTTTTTTCCAACTTTTAAGTTTTTTTTCTACCGATATCCCACAGGACACCCATTGTTTCTTGTGTTGGTGTACAAATTTAGGTGCCGTTCGATGGAGCAACCATCGAGGGCTCGGATCTGATCTCTTGGGCGGCAAGAGACAGCAGCAAACCAAGATGGAAAATGACTTTTGACGATCTGAAGGATCCCCCAAAGAAGCTGGACCTGGAGTGTTGGGTGGTCCATTCAACGGCAGAATACGCAGCCAAGCGTATTGCTGAGGCGCCGAAGAGGGGCAAGCCGTCGGCCGAGCTACTCGCATCTGTTGGAGATGAGTTATTTCGCGAATTCAAGACAATCATAGACGCTGATGCGCCAGAGCCATGCTTCATGAAGGCGCATAGATGGTGAGCATCCTCGATAAACTGATCCTAGGTGTGGTTTGCGGACAGTGGACCTCGTTTTCCTTTTTCTTTCTTCGAACTTTTGTCGGTTTGTTAAGCTTGGTTTACCTATATTTCCACCCCCCGCCCGGGCCCCCTTCTTTTGTTTACGCCTCCTCCCCTTTCCTCCCCTTTTCTTTTTTCTTAAAACCACCAGTACCTCCGCCACTACGTGGCCGCGGGGGACTCACCGCGACTTTCGGAGGCCCGCGCCGCGACTTAGACCATTGATGAAAAATCTCAACGGCACCTGGCTCCCGAAAGTCGCCGGGCGTTAACGCCCCGCGGCCGCGACTTAGACCATTGATGAAAAATCTCAACGGCACCTGGCTCCCGAAAGTCGCCGGGCGTTAACGCCCCGCGGCCGCGTAGTGGCAGAGGTACGTGTGGTTCAAAGCACCAGTACATGCCAGCTATCGGCCGCGGGGCCCTTTCGGAGGCCTCCCACCACCGATTTATTTTATCTACGGCGCTCGGCCTCCTAAATTTTCGGAGAGGCTCAAAACAGGTTCTCCAGTCGCCTGGGCCCCATTTACTGGTGGTTTAAACCGCCAGTTCACCCATAGCAGAGTACTGCGCTTGGCGGTTTACAAGGCAAGAGCATTTCGATTCGGGGCTGGGCTGGTAGCGAAAGCGGCAGGCCGCTTTGAAAAGCAGTTGCAGGCTTGAGCCTGCAAGCTTGGGAGGAAGCTTCGTTAACTTAGACTCAATGTGAACTGGTGGTTTCTCCATGTGCTCCGGGAGCCTGGGCTGCTCGAGGAGGCACGACCTACGGGCTCCGTCCTGGGTGGCCCCAGCAAGAAAACAAGAGCCCTGGTAGAGGGGCCTATTCGTGGGGGTGATAGGAGCAACCTCTATGGATAGGACCCCTGGTAGAGATGGCTCCAATCTATTGGTGGGGAGCTGCACCAGCTGGAAAACGGGTTCAGCGTCCCAATTACCAAAAGAGGAGCCTGTACTGAGCGAACAGAAACGATGAGCAGAATTGATTGCCCTCCAGGGCACTCGTGGTTAGTAGGTGGTGTCATTTTCGGCGAATTTTGGCGAATTTTTCACTGAATAACTGCCAATCAAAGCTGTGATCAAATCTCATGACGCTTCTCCCCATTCTGGTTGGGAGACTCGAGTAGGCGGCATCGATTACTTCGGAAAGGAAGGGTGTGCCTCCCCTTACCCCTGCCTAAATTAGCTTATTGATTTAATATCTCTGTTGTGCTTGCCCTTCGCGGCGACTGCATCTATTGATGCTAATCTTGAGCTGGCTCTAGAGTCTAAACCGGATTTGTCTGCTCCTCTCAGCTGATCCAGCTGTCTGTTATGCTTGAGTATCTACAGCCTTGCTTATTTCCGGTCTTTTGTCTGCTACAGCCTTGCTTATTTCCGGTCTTTTGTCTGCTAGGACTTGCTGAGCTTTGCTAGTCTTCTGATGCTAGTTTGCTTCAATCACTTATCTTATGACATAATACAAGACACTGGCAGGCCCTTGCACGAAGAGGGCTGTAGGGACAGGGGTGGTTTGGGGACTCAGGATAGAAGATGTCCGAAATGGGACCTTTGATGTGCTTGAGGAATAGAATCACATGTGGTTTTAGACCAGGGGATAGGGCTTTACCAGGGTTTAGGGTTTTAACTTTTAACAAATAATCTAGGCAACGATAACCTCACAATGAGATCATACAACTGGAAACTGGAAGAGTGAGAAGGTCCAAGCACTGGGGCCAAGGTCAGAAGATGTTCCGTGAAGGGCAGCTCGCGGGTGCGTGCCATGTAGTACTGGAAGCTAAGAGATGTCCGTCCTCCTGGGTTCATATTGCTGCTTCTGCTTTGCCGCGTGGTTCAGTTCTGGGGGCGGTCTAGAAGCATGGTCTGAGCTGCTAATAGGAAGGTATTTACTACTTACTATTTAGTATTTACTATTTACTATTTACTATTTAGGTTCTGGTAATTTTGTGCTGGACCTGCTTGTTTGTGATGATTAATTAGCCAGTCCTTGAGAACCAGCCTTTCACCTTCTATTGTGCCCAGATCTCCACTCCCTACCATCTTCAGCCGAATAGAACGCCCGGTCATTCCTGCCGCAGCTGGACTGAAAGTTGCATCAAATGCAGCTATAATAACCGGGCATTCTATTCGGGTGAAGACGGTAGCTTCAGAGTAGCAAATCTTTGGATAGTCTCCTGTTTTTTGTCTGGAATATGTGGAACATCCTGGAGTGGTTTTCGTGTCTTGTTCCGGAGGGCGTGCGTGGGTCTCAGTTTCCACTATCTGGTTTATCATTTATGATGATGAGAGGATTTT